TTGGTCCCCTTGCAGATGGAAAATTGGAGAGACTCGGGTAAATCGAGTGCCTCTCCCAGACAGACGAAACCGTGCAATGCGGGAGCGGCTGCCAACCACCTCCGCTGGCCCCGACGACGACGTGAACCTAATCTGATAAAAATATGCGTTCACTGTAAACTACTCGAGGCTTAATTGCATCATCGGAAGGCTCTTTCCGCTTGTTCTCCTACTCGCGTGATCGTATACCACATGTCCATTATAAGCTGAACCCTATTTAATATGATTGGCCATATATAAATGAGGTCAACTTACTTCGGAGATGTCAAAATTTTGGAATCTTATTTTTTTATTTGTCATCATACAATTATCATTTTAAGACAATATTAATTCGTAGCTCGGTGGCGCTACGGATATGCGCCGCTGCGCACGATCGCTATTGCTAAGCAATTTTCGCAAGAGTTGTTCATGGGATGGGTGACCAAAAATTATTAAACAAAGGCCTGAGGCCCTGCAGTTTGGCTGTGAAAGAGTTAATGATGATGATCAATATATCAAAGACGAAAATTTAATAAACCAGTAAATATTTCATAGCAATTTTGGCGACCACGTCACTTCAAATTGACATAACTTTTTTATTTGTGAACCGATTGAAATAAATCTTACACTAAATGTTAACGGAAGAATGCCGCAATACAATAGTGAAAACTGCGTTTAAATCGGTTCAGCCGTTTCTGAGATTATCGTGCACAAACGCACAGACAAACAGACAAACCGACAAACGACAACAGACAAAAAATTTAAAAATCATTGTTTTGTGTTCTATTACTCTTATAAATGTCCCTCATAACAGTTTTTTTCATATATCTTCAATGTACAGACATCGATCGGTTACGTTTTTATTATAGTATAGCAAAACCAAATATTGGCAAAGTCAAAAAGTAAAAAAATAATAATTAAAAATACGTATAAAAGCCTCCTTAAAGAGGCCAGTAATAATATATCAGAAACATAGTAAGGCTGTCGGCAACAATTGTTTTATTTATTCTGGCGTTATTGGATTTTAAGGTATACATACATGTACGGCGGTGATGCTTATTTGCGTATCGTTATAACCTAATTCAGTTAAACCATAATATTAAGTTACATTTACTTACCTATGCAGAAGGTTAATTTAAAAAAAATGCTTTTTGGGCCTATTTACGTACTCGTTTGCTCGCGACCCTTATCAGTTGCTTATTAGTTAGCAATCCGATTTTAGCCAATCACTATTGACGGATATACTTGAATAATAAATATATGTGCTTTAAAAGTTTCATCAAAATTGTTCAAGCCATTTCGTATGGTAACTAAATCACATGAGAATTTTATATATTAAATATATAAATAAGCAAAAGGTCATTCATCACAATATCTAAATATCTATCATGAAATTTACAAGTACTAGATATCAAATTTTGATATAGGGTTTTTTAGGACATAGGTGCTCTCTAAGACGTGACCCCTAAGGGTAATAATTTGTATGAAAGTTCCTTACTTCAAGTGCTAGGAGTCCCAAAGTTACCTTTGGAAGGCACGTTAAGCCGTTGGTCCCGGCTGCATTTGCAGTCGTTAATACCTTCCAATCCGCATTGGGCCAGCGTGAAGGGTCACGGCCCATCCTCCTTAACCATCCATAAGGAAAGCCTGAGCCCCTGCAGTGGGGACATAAAAGGGCTGATGATGACGATGATTCCCGAAGATTAATACCTACAAACAAACAAACAAAATTAAGAACTTAACTCTTTATAAAATTGTGTACATAAAACTTATATTTAAATAAAAAATATATTTGCTAATCCTCAAGTTTTTACAATCTAAACCGAAATTATATATACTACAACAGGTATCACAATTATCAGTAAGTAACAAGCTGATTATATAATATGACAATATTTTGTTTTAATTTATGATATAATTTTATGTAAGACGAATAAAAATGTTAGCCGACAGTAGTTGTACCGAGATGTTAGTAAAACTGATGAAAACGCTTTCAGATTCTCCCTAATTGCCTAATTAGTCAAATAACTTTTCTCATTAATCTTATTTGATATTCTACTTAATTACACTTTGTTAATACACACATATTTTTCCTATCGAAATATAATCATAACTCGTAGACAAAATCAACTATATCCGATTTCATGAAACACAGAAAGAGGATTAATAAAAATTACAAAAGTTTACAAATTCAAAAACCTTATTTATTTCCCTATAAAGGACAAGTATTTGGTGAAGGTATTGACTTTATCGCTCGACCTTAAATAATTTCATATAATTTAAAATTTCAGATAACCGTTTTTGTTGTTGTTAAGAATTGAATTACCCCTTTTCAAGTACTAAAACTTTTTAGAAAAAAAAGCAATTCTTGAAAAAGCAAATAAAATATTTTAGAGCGTTGTGGTAAACGGGTTTACAAAACTGATTTAAATAAATTGCATTAAGATATTTTTTACAAGAACTTATAAATAATAAAACTGCTTAAATTATTGAGACCTATAACTTATTTTAATTTTAAATTTAATTTATTTTTAGTTAATTTAAATTTGTTATCTTCAAATCTTACCTTACCGATGAGTCCAAATGTAATTATATTGTTATATATATTACTACGTTATTATAATACGATAAGGTATTTTATCACGCTTTCAATTTGGTCTCATGTCTCTGGTATTTTTGTGAAAGCGAAAGCGAGAGCAATGAAAAGACTCAGAGATTTTAAGTTATGTTTTCTATATTGTCTCTTCATAGACTTGAACGAAAGTACATAATCAAGTATTTCTAAAATAAATCTATACTAATATTACAAAGACGAAACATTTGGTTGTTCAATGTTAACACATTGAATGGGTTCTGAAACTGTTGGACCGGATTTTAATATTTTTTTCAACTTCGGGAAGCTACAACATGAGAAAGGCTACCTTTTGTCTCTTTCTATTCCCTCTAAAATAAGGGATGGAAGTTTATATGGAGCATTTCGCAATTTTCAAGGTAGAAAGTTAAAACTTGGTATGCGGACTCTTTGTACCTTACAAATAATAGGTGCATCGTTTTTTTTTAATCTGCCCCCGTTCCTTTAAAACAGGCTATGAAATTTTGTACTGGACTTTCCGCGATGTTTAAGGCATATTTTTTTTTATCTCTTCTGTTACTAAATCTTTTTGTTTCTAAAAAAAATACGTTTATCATTTTCTTTTGGAAACCTGCCCCCAACCTCCTAAAAGAGGGGGGGTGATAGTTTGTACGAGACTTCTTCAGTTTTCAAAATAAATAGCTGATAATTGGTATACAGACTCATTACTAATATAATTTAAAGAAATAAATAAAATTGGATCATTCTTTGTCTGACTGTTCCGGCTAATCTCTGATACGGTTGGACTAATTTTTATTAGGCTACTTCTCTCAAGCTACTTTCCACGCGGAAGAAGTCGCTAGTAGTAATAATAATAAAACACTTGCATCAAGATTTTTAATAAATCATCCCCCAACCCCCTAAAACTGGGAAGGGAAATTCAGTCCAGTATTTTGGATATTTTTTACGAGATTACGAGATATGATACAAATAATAATATATACTCGTAAATTATTATTTGTTTCGATATATAGAAATCAATAGAATACAACGCAAATCACTAGAATTATTTATAAAACAAGAATATATCGTAATTCATAAAGACCGTCAGAGATAAAGAAAGGAAGAGGCGATTGATGGCGCAAGTGGTTAGGTCTACGAATTTCGCAAGTGTCGGGCATAAGATGGGTGACCAAAACTTTACTATCTGAATCTCCTGCGAGCTTCAGAAAACACGTTAACCGTATTGATCGCGGCCGCATCTGCAATTACTAAAACCCACCAACCTCACACGGGCTCGCGTAATGGGTCATAGCCAATTCTCCCTATTCAATTCCACCAATCGGGAAGATCTGTGCCCCAGCAGTAAGGATTTTAATAGGCCGATGGTAAATAAAGGATTTCTGTACATATTTTATAGTCTATTGTCATTCCACAGAAACTGTAATAACGAATTTATCTGTTGATTTATGTTACTTAACTACGTTTATAAAAAATCAAAAAGTTATTTTATTTTCAAAGGTCATCTCGCAGTTAATAAATTCTTTATTGGTATTTATTAAGTAAATAGATTGAATCACACAGTTGAATTTGACAAATAAATGTTATATGACACCTCACATATGAAAAGTACTACCTCTTGACAACAGATGGTACTGTACCGTTTTAAATCAAACACCATTTTGATATTAAGTTCTGTGAATGTATCATAAGTAATTCTTTCTTAGTGCTTACTGCATAGCACGCTTTACGCTTTCACCACGTTGGGACGTCAGTGTTTTAGCATTAAAGTACTCACGCTAAATGTGATCGCTTTCGCTGTACTTCCATCGGGAGACACCGTTTGCACTATATATAATATGGTCATTACAGTTGTATATACGTTTTTTGTTAATACATTCGCTATACTTACCATATGTGGTTTCTCTACGTCTTATCCCCCATCGTAACATCGTGTTACATATAATGTTAAAATAGAAAATTAAAAAATATTCAAGGTAATAAATTATAATTTTATTAACTTCTAGCAATAATTATGTATAAAACTAATAAAATCTATGACAACAACTACAAAATATTATAAAATTACAAAAAAACGAACAATACAAATTGCATTTAACCCAAAAAAATTTAATAACTTTAAAGAGATTGCTAAAATCACTTATATATACTGTAGATAATTAAAGTCATTACATACAACTAACAAAATTTTACTTCCTACGTCTAAAACAAAATCTTATTTTACATAAACAAGTTACAATTATTTTTCCATAAATATATATAGATAGACAAAAAATAAACAAAAATCCTTGCCTACTTGGTAAGTTACCTACAAAGCACAAAGTATTTCTACTTTCCTCTTTCCTCTTTGAAACAACAAATTGATTCGTTGAGCCTTTTCAACTTTAATTAACGTAAACAAGCCTACAGCCTAACGTAAGGAAACAATGCTTACTTTGTAATGTTTTACATTGCAATTTGAAATAAACATGTTATCTACTCGTATCTGTCCTAACGAACTTCAATAAAAACAAAATATAATTTTCACCATCACTCACTTCGTCACTTCTGGTCTATTTAAATTCATAGCATCCCAATAAGAAGGAGGTGCGTCTCTAACTACGATATTATCCAAATTATTTTCTCCTACTTCTATTGGCACTTTGAGAACAGCATTCCTATAAAACGCAGGTAATACTGCTGTTATGTACACAAAATAGTTCCTGTCCACCAATCTAGAATTATTCACTGTGTGAGCGTCTCTTGGTACGTCGAGTACCACTTTCATTAGATCTGTATCACCTCTTATACTTAACGATGGGTTTAATCGTATAGTATGTAGAACATCACATACATTCTCGTTTATATTAGCGCTTTTAATTCGAAAGTCTTCTACAAGTTTAATTTCAATTTCTTTTATGTTGAATGCCGAATCATTTTTTACGTCACACTGAAGTTTAACCCTTCCTCCGGGCTCAACAATTGAATTATCTACTGTAGCTTTTAACGTAATAGCATTTTCTCTTCTTGAAAATAATTTTATGAGTCTTTTTTTCTCTTCATATGTAACTGACACTCTGGGTAATGTAGGTACAATACTTGAAGTTACATTAATCCATTTCTTGAAACTCTGGGATTTATTTAAGATGCCCGGTCTTTCGAATTTGACTCGTACGTAATAAAATAATTTGTAATTGATATAGTATCCATCTTTATTCTTTTTATAATTAAATGATTTTGGAATATTGTAAGGCAACGTCATGGAGAACGACATTTCGTACTCACCAGAAGCAAATGTGGAACCTCTCTCATCTTCGTGTACAATGTTGGTTACCTCAACATAATTTTTATTAGATGCATCTGAACAATCCACAGTTTGATAAGTTCCATCTATTGACAATAAATCTTTACCCTTAAGAGAAATGCTGATTTTCTTAAATGTTATATCTTCAGATAATTTATATTGAACAACACCGTACACAGTTTCTCCAGGTACAAATACATGATCGAGCTCATTAGTCAAGTTTATTTTGCATGTAATAGCCATTTTCTTGAAATATCGAATGTAACATGGATTTTGTGTGGAAGCGTGCACTCTCGATTGTAATTTTACCAAATATAAATAAATTACTGAAACATGTTCAGTAAATATATTTTTTATTGGACATTTGTTCATAATCTTATCATTGATATGCTATCTATAAAATATTACCCAGTGTGTTCCAAGGTATTGTTGTTATATATAGATATAGTAGACATTTATGTAATAAAACAAGATCACTGCTCTTGATATTACCAAGTTTTGTTTTGAGCTCCAAATTTTCTGAACCGGGTTATCGAAATTTATTTATAATAGAGTACGAATAAATACATAGATGTAACAAAGAGTAAGGCTAGACGATAAATACGTGTTTACATTAGAACAAGTGTTGATACCGCAAAAAAATAAGTTACTACAATAATAATTAAACAAATCAAAATTGCGAAATAAACCTTTAAATTTAGGCCGTCTAGATGAAGATGAACAATAAACAAGATATGACCATGACGACTGAGATGAGTTATGAATTGGTGCATTCCACATCTGAACCAAGTTCATAACTAAGTTCTACTTTACTTAATTTCAAGCATCTACAAAAGAGTTCTAGTAACTAATTCCATTTCAAAGACAATATATTAAAGTATACAACAAAAAATATGTGCAAAAATAAAGTCGCGATATAATAAAGCACATAGTCATTTAATTAAAACTACAGAAACTTTTTAACGTCTCATTTTATTATTATAGATTTAAAGGTCTTTATTGAAGGGATTTATTGATTCAAGGGTCTTTTGCCCATATTTCAGATTTCCGTTTGCCTATCTATGTCCTGATTTATCTTTACTTACGATTCTTATCAGGGAGTCGATGCTGTAGATGAACCTGATGTTCGAGATGATACATCAGGTACTTCCCCTAATGAGTCTGACGTTACTACCTTTTCATCTGGCACTCAAGAGGAGGATACTGAAGTTTTGCATCCAGTCATCACGCGATGAAAAGATACTCGAAAATTTAAAGGATTTTGTTAGAAGCTAAATAACATGGGAGGGGTGAATTAAGTATTTATATGGTGTATATTTCTCATTGTCACTATGTAAAATTTTTATGTTGATTGAAGCCAATGTTTCAGTGGTAAATTGGTTATTTCTATCAGTATGTAAAGAAAAGTTATGTATTCCTAGTAAATTTTGACTGAAACTTTAGTACATAAACTATGATAACATGTTAGCATAACGCCTGAAATGATTTCATAGCTTTATTAACATTTCCAAATAATTGCCACGATATTTCTTATAAGCGAGTGGTTTTCACGTCGATTTCAAGGTCTCGCTATGTCAGGACTCGGGTTTGATACCTGTTCAATGTTTAAATTAGATATTTTTATATCGCCTCGGGTCTGGATGTTGTGATATCTTCGTTGTCTCAGATACACTATAATATATTTTGATAATACGGGGGCTTTAGCTACTAATCTTGGAATCTAAGCTACGCATGTGATATTGTCTTATATTTCGTTATATATTGAATTCTTGTTTTCTTTTTCAATTGATACATTGATTTTATGTTACTTTTTCTTACTTTCCTCTTTTCCAACTCTCTATTGATTTTCCTTCAGAATGTACCATGGTCTCCTTTCAGAAGTCTGCTATTCTGTGTCGCGGCTGCGGGCGATACGAAAAGAGGTTGCATAAATTCGCAACCTCAGACCTCTTCGAGACCATTATGGCATTAAGAAGAAAATAATATTGATCTTTATATGTTTTTCCCCATTGACTTGAAAAGTATATTGCATATTACTGCATATTTTAATTATATCATTAACAATTAACCGCACAATAGGTAATATTTGTAGATACATATCTAAACTGCTGGCAGAGGGTTCGAGGGCTCATAGTTCGGTAAGTATTATCATACATACATTTATTGTTAAAGTATTACCACCACCCATTTAGGGGCTGTCCATTAATCACGTGAGGCTTGAAAGGGGGGGGAGGAGTCCATAAAAAAGTCACAAAATATCACAAGGGGGGAGGGGGGGTGAAGTAACATATCACGTGTATTTATTTATTCGACAAACGCGCGATACTCACAAATTTTGTTTTAATCAAAGCCCACACAAATCAGTTTCAAGGTGTGACCGTGGCTGAGTTCCCGCTAATGTCAATGTAGAAAATGGATGGAGAGATTATTTCAGATTTCCTTAATACAAGGGTTTTGACTATTTTAAAATATGAGCAATGTATGTATTTATTTTTATTCATTTAACTTTAAAAAAAAATCTCTTGTTCTATTTTCCGAGTATGGTTCTAATGCCGGTTTCAAGGTGTCGCCATCTTTAAGGTCACCATCGTAGGGATTTTCCAAAAGTCATAAAAATTCTCATACAAAATTTATCAAAATCGGATAAGCAGTCTGTTTTTGCAATAAAATGTAAACGTTCTGGTAAATAAAATATTCTGACGACATGTACACGTCATCGGAGAAACGAAAAGATGGCGTGTTGTGCATTACTTTGATATTCGTTATATGTTTACCAAGTCTCCACGCACAGATTATGTAGGTATTTATTTTATTAATTCATATGGTACAAAGATCGTAGTGTCAGTGCAATACACACGGCTGCACGTTACATTACCACAACATGTCAAATTTCTGTAATGTATTTTGACCTCTACCATCAATGCATAAAGATTAAAAATTGAGCTGGGAAATCCAACCATTTTGTATACTCTGACGTGCTATTAACTGCACATTCTGCCTTTTATTTGTTCATGTGATTGTGTGACTCAATGTTCTCTCTTGTTGGATTTGAGTTGGAATCCAAATGTCTCCTGTTGTACACCAAGTTGTACAAACGTTCATTAAAGTTTAATAACGAGTTTCTGCTTTAATGAATGATCTAAAGGAGAATGGGCAAAAGTCGGCTAAAATTACGCAAATCGCGCACTATGCTATAAATAAAAATTTATCATAAATCTTCTCTTTTGTTATAATATATTCAATATAAATATTATTTAAAAATTATGCGGCGTTTAAAATTAACCGTATTAAAGCAATTGCTAAACTGACTAATTTAGACTCATGATATGGCCTTGGATAAGTGACAACCATGCAACAATATATCTCTAGAATAGAATAGGCGATCAGATTGATTATAGAAAACTAAGTGATTAATCTACGTATCGAAAAAAATCAATTATTTAATTACTATCTAAGATAAGACTTCCTTCGGTTTTCTTTTGAGCGTGAACAAAGGTATGTACGCTATTTCATAGTAAACGATAGGAGGCAAATTGATGCAATCGGCTGGATGGCGCATCTTAATATGACGCGAACAGACTGAACCAACGCTCGCCCAAATTAACGTTCGTCACTAATCCCAAAGAATAAACTTCGTTTATTTGTATATGTTTAAGGATCAGATTAAAATATGCTATGGTTATAAAATATGGTATTTAAATGTGCTTCATTATTGTATAATGATGATCAATAAACAAGTACATCAGTACGTTTGTATATTTTTTATTTTACATACTTGCTTCCCTTACTCTCGAACCAATCGACATTGTAGTTATGCCGTTTCGTAGTTACTCTTGATTGAGTACTGCGATTTGGGTATAAATAATTGCGAATTAACCATGAGTTTCACGGAGGAAGAAACTTGTGTGTTTAAGCGGTGTTATAGATAAATATAACAAGATTCCATTACATAAATATCTTAAGATTGTTAGTGAAATTCGTTATAATATTTTCTTTAGCGGTGAGTATAATACCTACTTACTACAATATAACTACGACTACCTACTAAGTTTCAAATTATTAATCGACTTGACATGCAAACTTCCTACCACTACTTTTACCATATCAAGTATTTTAAATCTGATAATGTTGGTCAGGTATTATATCGGACAAAGACTATTTTTATCGGCCCAGACCTTTTTGAGGTTATACTTTACAATAAAAAATCCAATCTTTCCTTTTTATAAGGTAGGTATAGATATGTACTTATTCGCAAAGAAATTAGTCGAATGTATTTCATACATTATTCATTTTATTGCTCTTATATACGTAGATAGTATAAAGACATAACCTCAAATTCTCTGTTAAATATTCAGATATTCTGAAATTTTAAATCTAATATGGCGGACGGCCCAAGATGGCGACCTCGTTATTTTGTGTAGTATCATCGGTATAAAATGAAAGAGTTTAGCTTAAAAGATTACAGTAAAGCAATGATATTAATATGTCTAGATACGCAATACATGCCAAAAATCTGAAGCTACTAAAACTAAGACGTTTGTCTTAGTTTTTTCGTTTTGCACTTCATTACTCATTCAACTCCCGCTAAGAAAGTACAAAAAAAATGCTCCGTAAAAACAAAGAAAAACAGTAGATAAAATTCGATTCTCTTTCACAAATACACATAATACGAAAGAATATTAAGTTTCACACTTAAATCATTAACATTTTTGGCAATAAATACAAAATTAAAGCTAGGTTATAAAATAAAAATATTTAATTTTTTTCAAATAAAATTTCGACATTTTGTCGTCAGTGTTGCCACTGCTATTCACTTTCAATTTTCCCAAGTATATGGGAACCTTTTCTTTTTAATTAACGTGGCTATAATTTATCTAAATATCTTTTTATAATTAATTATATAGCTCAGCTTAAGTATAGGCAACTGCGCAAATTTTTTTATTCATGCACACAGATGCTAATGTGGTTTAATTTTTTCAATGCGTGGAATAATTCGTTAGTTGTCGAGATACAACTTTTGAAAATACGTAAAATAGTTTGTTTGATGTTTTATGAACTTTGACAAATGTTTTTGTCTTAACCACTAACTTTATCGAAAAACAAAGGGATATATATGCACAGAGCCTACTTTCGTAATTGTTTTTTTTTTCAAAGTTTTTGCAAACAAATTTTCAAAGTTACAGTATTTTACTAATTGATTTTATACATAAATCTACACTACTCGTTCATTCATTCATTCATCACAATGGGTGAAATTTTCGACAGCTGGCAATACAATATCAATTACCCATTTTTCCGTTCATTCTGTCGTTCGCGCATATTCTGTCTTTGTTTAATTTAAAGTTTAATCGTAGATATGAGGGAGATAATATAATAAATCTATTTATATTATATAGTATAAATATTATTTGCAAAGCTACGTCCTGATTTCGGAAAAGTGCTACGCTTTTTGGCGCGTCTGTTGTATGGGATTGCTTCTCTAGTTATTAAACTCATTGCAGTAAAGTAAGAAAAATTAAAGGTCAAATATATTTTTAAAACCAACTTTTGTTGAAATGCTCTAGAAAGTAAACTTTTACGAATATTATTTGTCTAAAACAATGATACACGTTGGCAAATAATTGAACATTAAAAATCGATCGACATCGGTGTTCAAGAAAATATTATCTCGAGATATTCCTTACTTAGAATTGCTCCCGGCTGCGTTTGCAGTCGTTAGTACGATCCAACCAATCCAATCCAATCCCATTGGGCCAGCGTGGAGTGTTATAGCCCATCCTTCTAGCCTAAATTTTACAGTTTCAAAATAGTTTAAAAGTTTTTTGAGTAAACAGATGAAAAATTACCATTCCCCCCTAATCTCCAAAACTACTCGGTCAAAAACTTAAATAAAAATAAAAGAGAATTTCACGTAGGTACAAAATACAGTATAACCAATATCAAATCTTTTACTTGTTTTATCATAACATGTGTACTCACATTATCTCATTCGAAGTTCTTAAATTATCAATATAAGCATTAACGATAAGTACAGATGTACTGTATTATACTCATATAGAAGAAAATATAGCTAAAAAAATTTTGACTTTCTTTAGTAACATGTTTTGTGAAAACTATTATCCTACCCTATAAAATTAATGAGAAAGTTGGTGAGAATGTATGTTTTTACCCTTTCACACAAAAACGGATTTTTATGAAATTTAGTATACAGATAATACAAGGCTGAATTAACATATAGATAGATAGATAAAACGTTCATTAATAATAACTACACACAATTACATCGACAAAGTTTTAAATTACACAAAAAAGTTAAATCAAATTAATTATTAATTATGATGTACCTGTATGTAGCAGTTAGAAAAGGGTCAAGGCTCGGTGCGTCTAAATCACTCAGGAACGAGCGAAGCGCCGATTTTCAGCCGTCACCCAGTCAAGGTGAGAGGGGCAGAGATTAACAAACAATTAAACCAAAAATAAACAACAATAAAAAATTAAAACTATAGCAAAAGTCAGTTATAAGATACATTAAATAAAATCGAAGTAAGAAATAATTTAATTATAATAACATAAAAAAAATCAAACATACGTTATATTATAGACGTAAAATAGGCTACTTTTATCCCCTTAAACGGTTCGCTAGGGATTAATTAACTGTCAATTCAATGTAAACTATGCAGGCAAAGTCGCTGGCGGAAAGCCAATTAGAAATAAATTAGATTAATTGTGGAGAGAGTTACGCAACTTTCACAATAGCTGGTCATAGGATGTGTTCAAAAAGTGATGAAAAATTTATCTCGAAACAATTCTTCATGCATTTGAAATCGTTAACGCCCACCAAACCGCATTAGGTCTGCGTTCATTCCATTCCATTCATAGAGAAGGCCAGTACCCCAACAGTAAGGTCACAACAATAACATTAAAAGCAGATGATGATGACTACGATTCTAAATAAAACAACTTCTTTAATTATATTTCTTTCATTAATTTCAAATAATATTAAAACAAATTCAATTTATTATTAGTTTTTTTTTTATGTAGTTAGTGAGTGGCACAACATCATTAATAATAATATCCTTATTAGCGTTTAATTTTGAATACTTAAACATCTTAAATGTTAAGAAACCACTTAGGTATATTTTTTCTAAACATAGTATAAAATAAAGTCACTTCCAATTGTCTGTATGCTGAGATCTTTTAAACTTCACGACGGATTTTAATGCGATTTTCTTCACTATACAGAGTCATTTATGAGGAAGGTTAACATGTATAATAAAGCTCTCTTTCTATATAATTTCATTCATGTCGTTGATTCCCCGTACGAAGGGGGAGATTCTCTACCATTGTTACTTACACAATAAAAATGTGGATCTAATTGAGATCTAGAACATTTGCCTATCTGTATTGGAATTTCTAGCATCATGTTTTTGTAGGGTATCGGCAGACTAATAATAATAATAACAGCATAATTTCTAGATACAATTTTAGAATAGTCTACAGAATGCAAACTTGGTTCTATATCAATTTCCAATGAATATTCTTTTATATCACCACTTTTTATCATGGCCGTTTTAGAGTCTGTACCTTCAACGTCCACATAAAATTTTATAGTGTCATTTTCGTTTAAACTAAACATATACATTTCAACTAGTTTGATTTTGATAGCTTGGACAGTCGTGCTGGACTGATTTTCAACTTCATAACATATTTGCACTCTCTGACCAGGATTAATAATCGAATTCTTCACACATGCTTTCAAATAGATGAAGTTATTCCTTTTGCATAAATGAAAAAATGTCTTCTTTTCACCATAAACCATTGGTAATGTTGGTAATCTCGGCATTACACTTGGTGCCACTTTGATTTCTTTTTCGAACGTTTTTTGAAATTCTGCAAAGCCTCCAACATGGAATCTTATTCTAAGAAAGTATGTGATCTCACAAAATATTCCTAAGTTTAAATCATTGGTACAGTAATGTAAAGACGGTGGAATATTTTCTGGTAACCAAAAATTGAATGTTGTTCCATATTGTCCTGTTAGATACGGTGTTCCTTCCGCACTAAAATCTATTATATCTTCAGAATAAAAGATATCTTCTAAATTGCAATCACTTACACTATCTTCATTGTATCCATACCCAACACCTTCATTGACTTGTAGTCTTCCAAAACCTTCAAGTGACACAGATATTTTTCTTACTATAGTTTCTTCATCAAATTCGTATCTCATAGTACCACAGATTGCACTTCCAGGTGTAAATACTTTACAACGAGGCTCGTTAACAGAAAATTGACAATGAACTGCCATCACTCCTTTTTTATTTAATTTCTCCAATTATAGCGTATGTAACACTTTACATTTCAAAATTCACTAGTATTAACAGTGTTAATAAATTCACATTGGACATGCCAATATCTTATCAGAAATTTAATACCGGCTTCTTTTTTATCTGTCTTTTATTGTGTAAATAAAATTATGTAAATCCGTTAAGTGTTTATCAAAATATACTCTTTTATTTTCATTTTATCATTTAAATCCATTTGATTATTCTAAACATCTCATAACAAATGTTATGATGTTTATCAGAAAAGGGTGAAATCGTTTAATAGAATAATTTATAACCCCTTATATAGATTATCGAATCGGAAAATTTATATTTATGTTTGTTATAATTTTGTTTTTTTTTTTAATATAACTTGTTCCTTTGTTAGTGTTGTCATTGTTACTGGGTATTAAGAAGCTTATTGTTAGTTCAATATTCTGTAAGAGTAAATTCTACGTTCTAATTGATAATGAGGTTCCTAACTAACTAATGAGCAGTAATTTATTGTGTAAGTACTATATTATTCAGAAAATAGATTTGTCTCAGTGAAAGCGTCTGTAATCTAATGCATTTGCATTATTATCATAGTTTATTAAGTGCTTCAAATAAAACACTGATATTAATCTATTTTAAGGGTGATACCTGAAAGGTTATTACTCAATATGTAACTGTAGAAAAAAAAAACAAATTATTTGAAGCACAAAAATATTTTATTTAATTTGGTATAAAATTTTATATGATAAATATTCTATAAACATGACACATACTACACAGTTGTTTATAAAGACTAAACATTTAATAGCATTGGATTTACAGTATCTACTTTTGCTAATATAGTATGAAATTCACCAAATAACGAAAATGTATTATTTATAATAGTAACAATGTTTTGTGTTTTGAAATACTTATAAAATATATTTCATTTCGTCTGCAAAATAATTTGAAAACGTGCGACTTTCAAACCATGTTTGTCTATGCTCACGATTAATAGTATACTATAAAACGACTCGGCATCAAAAACAATTTAAGAACCACAATAGCGATCAAGTTTCACAACCAGCGATAAAGCTAATAATATCTTGCTTCGCAACCGATTAATATTCAAAGTAGTAATAATAAATCAACCAATAAAAAATTATAATAGTACATCCAAATTAATGTGCTGTAATTATAGGTATATTATTATCAGTTAACGTAAGATTATAAATATTGTCAGTTTATAACCTTACCATACATATAATATACTAGCTGTTGTAACAATCAAATCATCCTCTTTATACTATAAGTGTAAACTAGCTGTTATCCCGCGAGTTCACACGCGTAAATTATGTCAACCCAAAATGATGTAGTTACCCGTCGGTGAAAGAATTTTCAAAAACTGTCCAATGTAATTTATCGATGCTATATGTTGTCACGTGACTTCGAACGCGTAAATTATACTCTATGTGAACCCCATATAGCTACTCATAGGTTAAAGAATTATTAAATAAGCCTATTCGATGTAAACAAACAAACAAACATACAAATAAACAGATATTTCCTCTTTGTAATATTAGTATAGATAAAATTAATATAATCTAATTTAATCTAAACCTAATATAGAAAATAATATAACGAGACAGATATGAGATTATAACACTGGCGATTTTTACTATTGCATGTCATCTTGCGTATATCTCACCGTAAAATATTACGCTGGTATAACATATAATAAGGCGACAGTACATTTATGTCACTGTAAACACCGTTATTTCTAATCTGTATCGTTAATTACAATCTATCATAGGTTTATCTTAGGTTAGATTAATGATTCTAGTAAGAATATAAACCGATGAAATTCCCAGTTTTACGGTGACATACACATTTAAGAGGACGCAAAAACGCAATTATTTATAGCAAATTGAATGTTAACAAAAATTGACGTCAAATCAGACTGAAAAGTAATCATTTGTGCTATTGTATAATACAGCGTCGCACGCAGCGCTGTCGCAGCCTCACATATCCAATCAAATAAAATCATCTTTAAACGGTAATAAAAGTGCTATTTGTTGAACTCTAATGATGCGACAGCGTTGACTTTGAAGCTGCATTTTTTGCAGAATAGCAAACTTTTTAAAACTTCTTAACAAAAATTAGAGCAACTTTTAAATTCAACTTCTTCATACTTTTTTAATAGATGATATACTGATTGTATGATTAGAAAATGTATACATGTATGTCATTTGAAACTTGTTGTCTGTTTAATAGTGGCACTTGTGTTGGCACAAACTAAACTGGTAAATATTTGTTCAAATCATGGCTAACTGCATTTTAAAAATTACTGCTCGTATTTTGAGAAAAAGTAAACTACTGACGTACTAGATCAATATCTACTTTTTGTTTTATTTGGGTACTAGTCAATACAAGATACAATCATCAAACGTTCTGTCACAAGATACAGTCATCAAACGTTCCCTTATACGTTACATATAAAAATAAAAACAGACAATGAATTATTTATTAATTTTCGAAATTCAACTTACTTTTCAATCAACAATACCTTAAAACGTTATTATCGTGTGTATTTTTGAAAAAATATTTTATTTTTGAGATGATTCATATCCTTTATAGGTTCCGTGTTCACTTACGTATTTTATTACACTATTTTACTTTTATTATATCACAAAAATAATCGGAATGGATATACCAGAAAATCTGATTGTAAACTACAAATACTCCACATGACAACATCTAAGTTAACTTGAAGAACTTCATTTTGGCGTATTTTAAATACTACAAACTTCTGAAATCTGAAAATACACTTATTAGATTATTTTATATACGAGTCTAGTCTAGTGACAACAAAATAGCGTTATTTAATATCAAATTAAAAAGTTTTATTCAGTTTACTTTAATTTAAATACAATTGATAAATTTACAATTATTATTACACTATATTCGTATAACGCCATCCTGTCAATGATAGGCCTCTGCAATTTGTCATACTTTCCATTACCCTTATGTGTCATTGGATTTTGCCGTCTAGAAAACACCGATCACTATCATGAGTTTTATTTATGAATCGATCGTTTACAATAGTATCGCCGTATAGGAAACACTCGCTTTTACAAACGTTAAGATAAACAATTCACAATATTATGTAGTTTAATGCGAACTAAAATTAAAACTTATAATTTATCACACTCAAAACTATAATAACATTGTAGATTTATCTTAAGTTTACCTTTGCCTTTAAGTTTACTTACTTTCTCAAACTTTTTCAATAAAACACTTTCATATCTTTTTCTACGAGATACTGGCATAATAAGGCCACACTACAAAAATTGTTCACTCAGTACCCGATTTCAGTAGAAATAAATAGTAGAAAAAAAAAAACAGCCAATTCCACATGCTGATCGCAAATTAAAAGCAAACGAGTATTTGACGATTAATTCGAAAATAGAACGCAAGAGGCGCGCCTTTTAATTAAAATCAATTTATATGAAAGTTCAGGTGACCTATCTAAAAACGTTAACACTTCACAACAATAGGAAAATGTTTATTCTGTTTGACGACAGTTGTTTACTCAAAAACTTTACATTTAAATTTCGAATGACTTATATTGGTAGACTAGTTTGTCGGTCACGGTCACTCGAGCAATTAATATTCCTTACTCAGAGAGAATTAATTACAGTATAAATAAAAACTGAGATCATTCCTATATCTAATGGTATTTAAACTTTACTCAGATTTTTGTTAATTGTTATATATTAGCTTATCTTATGTAATTATGTTTATCACATTCCAGTAGAATAATTAACAAACGATATTAATATTCTAAACATTAATGACTCGCGCCTATCATGTTCGAAGTAAAATACAACATTTTTCCTTCAAACAGAATTGGAACCCACAACAAATAACCGTAGTCATACCATTTCATAATTCTTCATTCTAACTATTGTAAATAGTAAAGATAGCACTATTGTACAATACAAAATAAAAAAACAATATAAACATGAATAACGAATTCAAGAGATTTCATCGTTTTCGGAATCTTCATTATCACCGTCCTCTTTCAAACCATCACCTTTCTTCTCATCTTCCGCCATTACTTCCCAATAAGACGGTGGTGGGTCATCAACAGTCTCAAAACTGGGGTCGTTGGTATCGCCAATCTGGAGAGGCACTTCTAACACAGCATTGAAATGAGGAAACGGAATAATAGCTGTTATATAAACAAAATAATCTCTCGATACTAAATTGGAATATTCCAGTGACCCAAGATCAGACGGCACATTTATAGTAACATCCATATTCTGCGATACACCACTGCTAATTGTACCAGTTTTTGTATCCGTATTCTCTATATCTCTATACATTTTTACCTTCCTATGTCCTTTAGTTGTGAACGTGTATATCTCAACCAGTTTCGTCTCCACACCTTTTATATTCAAATCTGTGTGGTTGAAAATTTCGTAATTCATATTGACATGCCCGCCGCGTTTGATCACGCAACATTCTATGTTTGCTTTTATGTTCACGATGTTCGGTTTACGTGAAAAGAGTTGGAATAGTTTCTTCTGTTCTCCGTATATGGTTGGTTCCATCGGAAGCCTGGCTTTGATAGCAGGAACAACGGTAATCTCTTTCTTAAACTTTTTGGCAAACTTGAAGAGTCCTGGCCTGTGAAACTTTATAGAAATATAGTAATTGATTATACATCTTATTCGGTATTTAACAGTTTTTCTGTAATAATGCAACGAAGCCGGTATACTATGTGGCAGTGTGAAACTAAATGGGAACTCATATGAACCCGCTGGCAGAGGAGGTGCCTTGTCGTCATTGTGTACAATATTCTCTATATCCACATATTCTTCTGAATTTCTATAAGTGTACACGCTTCGCCTTCTCCTTCTAGAGTCATCACGTATAATGAGTCTTCCGTTGCCTTTTAGAGAAACATCTATCTTATTGAAAACTGTCTCTTCGTCTACCGCATATTTTATGACACCACTTACGGTACTTCCTGGCAGAAACGCTCCGTCTGTCGGTTTGAAAAGATTAATTTCACAATGCACACCCATATCCCTTAGTTTATTAAAAAAAAAACTATACGATATAAACGTGAACCACTGATTAGACTAACAACAATACAACACCAATCCAATTCTTTATGTGCACAATAGTTTTTATTGTAACAAATTTCTATCAGATTTTACAGTAATGTTATTCAACATACAGCCATTTGCATCAATAATCGTCCTTGGCTGTTTGAATTTTGTAACTCTTGTCGAAATATATAGATTATTTTGTCTTATCACAAACACCGCACACAACAATCCTCTCAATACTAACTTGTGAGCATCGATTTGATTAACCTTTGAAATACATGTTGTATGACGTAAGCTATGAACAACAATAATATGTAACTAAGGATTGTCGAAGTTAAAACTGTTTTGGTATTTTATCGTGGACGAGGAAGACACGCGCGACCGACGTGACGCGCCGCCGGGCGGTGACTAATAACTATATGCTAATAACAGATCGAATAATCTGTAGTTATAACAAATGTAGTTGCGTTAATGTAACATATTCTATTCATAGAGAACAAAACTAGATATTTCACTGTGTGCCTTAACCAAAAAGGAACACAGATTTAGAATGTAACCTTGTTTCACATTTTAAAAATAAATGATGTTCTCCATTTATCGTACGTCACGGCTTAATTTTTTGAACCGACAATAGATGGCGGTAATATTTGATCATTGTTCATTTTATTTTTTTTAATAATATATCTACAATTTTTATCCTTCTGATGAAATATTATAATGGATCCCAGGTAATTGAGTAATTAAGTAATCGATCAATACATAGTAACTCAAATAAATAAAAAAGTAGCTTTTTTTCTGTCTGTCCTTATGTATGCTTAGATCTTTAAAACTACGCAACGGAATCTGATGCGATTTTTTCAATAGATAGGTGATTCAAAAGGAGGAGGAAAGCTAGTGAAATAATAAAGCAGTTGTAAATTTATCCCCTGTTTTCGTTTACATATAAGTTACAAACAACATATCCTACTCCAAAAATTAAGAAAAAAAAACATGGCTATGGTTGAATCTGTCGAGTATTATATACAAGTTTATTCAGACTAAACTCAACTCAAAGTGATTAACAGCCGGTTTCCGAATTGAAAAAAATACATAACTTAAGTTATGTATTTTTAAAATACATAACAAAATACATAACTGAGAATAACTTAAGATTTTTTACGTTTCGCAAGTTCTAGTTTTATCAAACTGCTGTCAACTGGTATAAAAGAAAAACTATAATCTGAAACGAAAACCTGTTTATGTGACATTTAAGTACAGTTTGGCAACTTGAAATTCTTAATTCGGAAATCGTATTTTTGTCAGTCTAGGCTTTTGCAAGCACTTTTGAATGTCGAAACACTATGCCTCGGTTCACAAATCTACGGCGGGTAAACTTGTACTGAGAGGAACCAGTAAGAAATTCGGTAAATGTTTCTTTTTCATGCATTCGGTATTGTCTATTGTACCTTTTTACTTATTAATAGTGTTAATGGCATTCATACATAGGATTATGCATACGATATTCACACAAACCCTCTGCTAAAGGCCGCATGAACAAACTGATTAACCTGCGCGTGCTACCTGCCGCAACATTTCAATATTCATGGCCGTTAGTGCCACAAATCCTCACGAATCTGATATTCTAACATGTATGTTATTAGTACTTAATATAATGTCTGTATCGTCTCTCCGACCCGGCCATTTGGTAACTTCATTAATTGTGTGAGTGATTTTTTTACTAATTAAAATCTTTTATCAATTAAAAACGGTTGTTATTTCGCCATCCCATTTCCTTGTCTCATTGTTGGGTGTAACAACATAGACAGAAAGTCTTTTGGCTTTACGTCCCCACTTAAACCTGCACTTTTAGACCAAGAGAAAATGGGATGAAATCAACGTGTTAGTTAATAAGAAGACATTAATAGAGGGCGAGAAACAGTTTATAATCAATTACTCGAAAACTTTTTCAATACTTTGATTGGCTCACGTATTTCTCAATTTTGAAAGTTGCTGTATTTTCAAAATCAATGAATACGTTACATTCTCCTTTATCCTATTAATATTATAAATGTGAAAGTTTCTTTGTTTGGATGTTTGTACGTCAATCACGCCGAAACTACTGAACGGATTTTGATGAAATTTGTTATACAGATAGGGTGTTAGCTGACTTAGCTAATAGGATACTTTTTATCCCACTAAACATTTCCCTAGGGTCCACGCGGGCGAAGCCGCTGACGAAAGCTAGTAATAAATAAAAGGGAATATATTCTTAATGAAGAAGGAAAGAGAATACTTCTCTATTAAAAGAGCTGCTTATTTTAGTGTTGTAGAAATTTGAGATATGCTGGCGCGTCCGCCTGTCGGTTTGTTTGTCCGGATATAATGGGTTTCTGCCAATACAAACATCGTTGATGCTGCTGTAATCTGAAAAGGAATGCATACAATGTTTATTGGGGCTGTGTCATCTTCAGATTTGTGGTTTACTGATGTTTACTAAAATAAACATGGCTACGTAAGTCCATGAATTTTATGGTATATGGATATAATAATACTCGTATATATAATATTATGGATATTTTTATTGATGATCTCCGTAACCTACTGGCTCACTCTTTGGTTTCTTGATTACGTCTTGTCATCTCTGAATGATAGGATAGCTTCTATCACAAAAAAGACTTAAAGGATTTCCACGTTGGTGAACCCGCGGGTGGAAAGCTAGTATAGAATATAATATTTTGTGTGTTATATCGGATCTGGGGTTTGAACACATCGACACTGTACATACAAATATTTTACTTCTACATCTTTTTCTATTATTTATGTAATCTTTATGCTAATAATAGCAAAAGGCGGGCTTAATGTCAAAAAGGCATTATTCACTAGACAACCGGTAAAGATGTACAGAGCATTCAAAAGGCAGTAACAAAAAATAACAAATAAAGCTACAGATTACAATTCATTGGTAAGCAAGTAATTATAAAGAATAATTTGCATTAACCTACTTAAATTAAAAAGGCAACATTGAAAAAGTTTGACCACGATACAAGTAGTCTTCGCCATAAAATTGGGGCAAAATACTTTTAACGACATTTTTTTATGAAGGTAAAGGCTGGGCAACAATAAAATTAGAACACACCTTAGAAATAATAACTTTTTAACGAATTAACTTTTTTATTATATAACCTGACCTTAATTTCGCTATTCTTATTTCTTCCACCCGTCTAAGCTCATGATTTCGTTCCGTGGTATGAGTTTCCTAATTAGTATTCATGAAATACTAAATAATAAGACAGATTTATAGCAGTTATGTGTTTATGTATATACGAGTATCTATTACTGCACACCACAGACTTAGTAGGTATCAAACGACCAACTTCCTAACAAAAAATTTCTTCGTAGAACGTGATTGGGAGCCAGTGATACATGACAGCTTCATTCGTTTTAAATATATAGATCTACTATCGGCAAAGGCATTTAGCTATACAGCCCTGTTTTGGGTAGGTACCTAGCCGTCTTCCTAGTTTCCACATTATTTTTACTTTAATTTAAATTCCTTTTTTTGTTTTAATACAAACAATAACAATAAAGCAGACTGATAAGTCTAGCTTATTATTATTGTTGTATTAAAACAAAAAAAGGAAAAACGAAAACGTAAATGAAACACACATTTTTCCAATATTATTTATTGAATAATTAATTTTTTAACTAATTATATTTTTCACAGCTTTCTTCTGCATTCTCGGCAATTCTTAGCTACGTTTTTACGTTTTTTAGTGGCACAACCTTATGAAACTTTTCAAGGTAATCACATTTTTTTTAAAGAGGGCGCTGATATTTGCATACCTTTTTATTCACATATTTAAGTTTTTCTAAAATTTCAATTGCCTTTGGCCAGAAAGAATGATGCTCTTTTCCTTTATGCTTTTTTTGTTTATTGACACTATCAAATAATTGGTTAAAGAATGAAACAACTTCAGCTGTATTTCTTAATGTTGTGCTGACGGGCCTGCCATCCACATAAGTTGCTGCAAATTAAAATATTCATACAATAATTGTATGAAACTTTATTCAAAACTATTAACTGTTAGTAAATTTCATCTAATACTCACAGAAATTTGCAGCTGCAGACATATTTTTACACAATTTTTTACCTGCAAAAAGAGATATCATATTTAAAATTATCTTCATTAGAGAATCATTATTGTAATTTAAGTGTAAACTATATTAACTACTTGTTACATAATTAAAAATACAGGTCATTGAATCAACACTTGCTCTGATAGAGAATATAGAAGCTGAATACAAATTATTTCTTTTATTTATACTAATATAATAACCAATGCATTACCTTCATCATTTTAATTTTATCAGGTATAACTCATTGGTCATTTAATTTATGACGTAGCCCAGCTTCAGTGTGTTAACAGTCTGTCTCATAGACATAATATCATGCCATTTTGCAAGTTTACTATCCAATATTAAATTTTTTGTTAAAAAATTGTTCCTGATGCATTTTATCAAGTGTGTAGAATCATAATGTTCAAATCCACCCCAAATATTTTAAGAATGCCAACTGAAACAAAAATTTAAGAACTTCTTAAAACATAGATAACAATATAAAAATAAGAACCTTCACTACTTTCATTAAATCTATTAGTTTTCTTTCATATAAATATAATTCTCTGTACCAACCTGTGATTTTAATTTAAAATTTGATCACAAAGTGCCTTCTTTTAGATTTTTGAGTGCTGATTGGAAAGCTGAGCCTTGGTCATATATTATTGCAATGGGATTAAGGTCCAATTCAACAACTTTTTCTACTACTAACTTTAAAATATTCTTGATGTACAGTAGATGTCGCTCCTTGACAAAAATACTAACATAAAGGCTGTTGCCACTTGTAAACAGCACCAACATAAATACAATAGTATGATCTGCAAAATCCACTTTTTTTTCTTGGTGTTCTACAAATCCATTAATGTTATCTTTAATCC